GGCCGGGCGGTCCAGAGTGACTTCCCGGGTGGGGGCCCTGCGGGTCTTTGGCGCCCCAGGTGCCCCTGCTTCCTCGCACAGCACTTCTCTGTGGAACGAGTGGTCCCGCTTTCTTGCCGCTGGCGATTCGGGGGACACAGGGCCAGGCCCTAGAACGGCTCATAGGTTCCAGGGGGGTGGGGCGGGCGGGCAGGGCCTGCAAAGGTTATGGGTCAGGGTCAGGGTTAGAGCTTAGAGTCAGGGTTATAGGTTAGCATCACGATTAGGGTTAGAGTTTAGGGTTCGAGGTTAGGTTTAGGGTTAAAACTTAGGGTTAGAGGTTAAGGTTTGAAGTTAGGGTTAGAGTTAGAACTTAGGGTTAGGGTTAGTGTTAGGGTTAGAGATTAGGGTTAGGGTTAGAGCATATGGTTAAGGTTTATGAATTTAGGGTTGGTTTAGAATTTAGGGTTAGAAGTTTGTGCTAGGATTATATTTAGGGTTAGGGTTATAGATTAGGGTTAGAGGTTAGGGTTAGGTTTAGAGCTTAGGGTTAGAGGTTAGCATTAGAGTTAGGGTTAGAGTTTAGAGTCAGGGTTAGAAGTTATGGTTAGGGCTATAGCTTAGAGTTAGGATTAGAATTTAGGGTTATGGTTAGGGTTAGAGCAGCGGTTCTCAACCTGTGGGTCGCGACCAACGGAAAACACATATAGCATATCAGATATTTACATTACGATTCATAACAGTAGCAAAATTACAGTGATGAAGTAGCAACGAAAATAATTTTATGGTGGGGGTTAAAGCGTCGCGGCATTAGGAAGGTTGAGAACCACTGGGTTAGAGGTTAGGTTAAGGTTAGGGTTGAGGTTTGAACTTAGGGTTAGAGGTTAGGTTGGATTTAGGGTTATAGTTTAGGGCTAGGGTTAGAACTTCGAGCCTGGGTTAGAGGTTAGCATTATGGTTAGTGCTGTAGGTTAAGGTTAAAGTTAGGGTTAGAGTTTAGGGTTTGGGTTGGGGTTATAGCTTAGGGTTAGGGTTAGAGTTTAGGATTAGAGGTTAGGGCTAGGGTTCATGTTATAGCTTAGGGTTAGGGTTAGGTGTTAGGTCTAGAGTTAGGGTTATAGCTTAGAGTTAGTGTTAGGGCTAGGGTTAGAGTTTAGGGTTATGGTTAGCATTAGGTTTAGAGGTTAGGGCTAGGGTTAGGGTTAGAGCTTATGGTTAGGGTGGGGCTAGAGCAGGGGTGGGCAAAC